CTCTCCTCGTGTCGGTCCACAGGGTGAGATCAACGGCCACCGCGGTCTGGTTCCCTCTAACTTCCTGGAAGAAGTGCCTGATGACGTGGAGGTGTATCTGACCGATACTCCGTCCCACTACCCCCAGGAAGAGCCTGCCAGCCGGCCCCCCGCCAACTCCGCCACCGCCGCCGCCACCGCCACCGCCGTCCCAGAGGGCAAACGGGTACATCATCATCGCCGCTCTCAGCGCTAGGCCCTGTGTTCATCCATCCTCCGTCCTCTCTCTTGATTTCCGTCTCTCGCTTCCTCCACTTGCCGTCTGTGTGCTGTTCATTGTGTGTGTTTTGTCCATGTGGTGACAGTGGTGACTCTATACAGCAGACTAACAACCTCCCCTTCCTCGCCTCCCTCCCTCCCCCCCGCCTTCCCTCCAACCCCCTCGCCCCTTTGGAAGAGGGGACGAAAAGACTTAAAAAAAAAAGAAATCCAGTGTTAACACCTTTCTGAGTCTCAGAGAAAGGAAGAAGCAAAGCCTGACATGGACAGAGAGAGAGCGAGGATAGACTGTGGGAGCTCGGCGGGTGGTTTTATGCATGTAGCACTGGTTAAAGGAGGACTTGAAAAAGGCTCGACCCATTCCTCACACCACATGATTTGGTACCTCTTTGCACTGAAACACAAAATCAAATTGTGGTTGTTGTGTATAATAATGATAAGTGCTTTATTAACACATTGCTACCCAGTAACACTGAAAGAAATTATTAAAAAAGAAAAAAAAAAAGAGAGAGAGAGAAAAGCATGCCTTTTTCAAACTTGAATACGTTTTCTAATACCTTACTTGGCTCGACTGCTGTGTTTCCTGGAAGAGGCTTTGTTTCTTTATGTATACTGCACACACATCAGATCTATTTTTCAGCCCTGTTGACAGTGGATATGCCGTGTTTGCTCTAAGCTCCGACAAAAAAGAAAAACTAACCACAGCACTGAGACGTCCGTACTGTATTGTTACGATGGAACAATAAAAGGATCAAATTGGATATTAAAAACACTCTCGCTCTGTCTTCATGTGTGTCGGTGGTGTTGTTGTTGTTGTTGTTGTTGTTGTTGTTTTCAGTCGTCATAGTGGTGTGGGTTTTTTTTTTTTTTTTTTTTACAGTGACGATGCCGCCACATCTGATTTCTTTTTTGTTTTTCCTCACCCCGCTTGGCAAAACAAAACAAAACAAACAGAAGAAGATTGTTCATTTCACACCATAAGTGGCTCTGTCTGCCTTGTACAGTAAGTCGGCAACTTGAGATACCAGACCGGGCGGCTCTAATGCACACAGCCGGCGGTCCGATGCCACCAGGCCCTCTTTCTGTCTTTTCTCTCTCTTTTTTTTTTAATAACCAAAACCTGTAGGCGTATTATCATCACAATACTGACTTCATCCGACATCCTTGGTGTCATTGTTCTGCTGACAGCTCCAATCGACAACCACCTGTTTTTTTTTTTCCTGGCTGCTGCATTAGACGAGACGTCTGGTATCTACAGTTGCGTCCCTGGGTGTTGTATATGCTGTGTGTTCTCCTCATGGCCTACCGATGGTGGACTTCTTCGGCTCTGTGCTGTGCTCTGATGTCGTGCTCGACGTTTCCTCCTCGGTGTTTTCTCTTCTACGTGTACAACGTGTGTGTGACGAGTGTGGAAAACGTGTGATTTAATGCAGGTTAACGGGCAGAAAACTGTGTTGCTCTGCTGTAAATCGATATATAATACAGTACAAGGTGTAGAGAATGTTAAAGTTATGTTAAGATTTGACATTATCAGATACTTATAATGACTAGAATGATGATTTAAATTCTTGAAAGAGCAGCTTTTTGAGCTTTTTACACCAAAAAAGCAGGAATCAAACCCACTGAATGTGCTAAAACTTTGCTCTGATGTTGAGAACTCTCAGAAAAACACCTTTTTTCTTTGTACTTAAAAGTAATTTAATAATGAACCTTTTTTTTTCTTTCATGTCAATGATAAATGTGTCATTTGGCTAATTTAAACTCCCTCATAACCTATTTTCTTAGTCATATCTCTGCTATGAGTGATGGGATCCAACTTAAAAGCATCATTTTCTTCCGGTTTTGCTTCTTGTATGAGTATTTTTCTTTGAAATCTAGTCACAGCTTTAAGGTGGGGTAAGTTGGAGGAGAAAAAAAAGCACATTGTACACAAATATGTGACAAATTAAATGGAAAAACCTGCATAAAGTGTCTTAGTGAGGGTGTTTGGCCACCATGTGCCACCAGAACAGAACTCCTGAGCTCCACTGAAGAGACGAGACACGATTTTTTTTAAAGTGCTGTCCAACATGACGCTCCAAAATCTTCCATAAGTGCTCAGTTGGGTTGAGATTTGCACCCTGAAGGCCATAGCTTATAACAGGGGTGCCCAATCCTGGTCCTTGAGAGCCCCTATCCAGCAGGTTTTAAATCAGGGGTGTCCAATCCTGGTCCTCGAGGGCCACAATCCTGCATGTTTTAGATGTTTCCCTCTTCCAACACACCTGATTCAAATGATCAGGGTCGTTATTAGGCTTCTGCAGAGCTTGATGATGAGCTGATCATTTGAATCAGGTGTGTTGGAAGAGGGAAACATCTAAAACATGACGGATAAGGGCTCTCGAGGACCAGGATTGGGCACCCCTGGCTTATAATTTACATCATTTTTATGTGTATGAAACCCTTCAGTGACCCTTTGTGCCCTATAGATGGAGGCATTGTCATTCTGGAGGAGACCAGGAGGAGCTCCTAGATCAGGGGTGCCCAATCCTGGTCCTCGAGGGCCACAGTCCTGCATGTTTTAGATGTTTCCCTCTTCCATCACACCTGATTCAAATGATCAGCTCGTCATCAAGCTCTGCAGAAGCCTGATAACGATCCTGATCATTTGAATCAGGTGTGCTGGAAGAGAGAAACATTTTAAACATGCTGGAGAGGGGCTCTCGAGGACCAGCATTGGAGATCTCTGTCCTAGACAGATAGAAATGCTTCGTCATAGCTCAGAGGTGATCGGTCCGAATGACTTTGTATTGATTTGATCAAGTGGAAACAAACCACACAAGACAAAACGCCACTAAACAGCATCAAGTTTCAAGTTTTTCCTTTAGTTTGTCACATTTTCAGCCCTGATTGTTCCCTTTTAAGTCCTCAATGTTTGCTGTTTTCAGAGAAACGCCTGCAGCAAAAGTTTTCAGGGTCTTTAAGAAGCACTTAACCTTCCACGAATTGAACTGAGATCACTTCAGAGAAAGCAATTATGGTTTTTATTTGTTTGTTTTTCTTTTAAAAAAGAACGAGTTCATCTGAAATGTGCTCATAAAAGTAATTAAAACTCCATCACTCAGTGTTTTGGGAGAAAGCGGATAGCCGTCAGAGTTTTTTGTTTTAGAGTTTGTTGAAGGTGGACGAACGTTTGTAATGCGCTGCTCCATGCCTCCATGCCTCCCCCCCTACCCGTCACCTCTCTCCCCCCAGGTGACCACAGAAACCACCGAAACAGTCGGCAACGACACCGTCCCCGTCCGGGCGCCGTCCCCCATCGTCCGCCCGCTCCTCCCGGGCACCATGAGGCCCCTGAGCCCCACCAGGGGTCCCCACGTTCCCCTGGACCCCCGGGACCCCCAAGATCTGGCGAACAAGAAGAAGAAGGGACTGCTTTCCAAGGGGAAGAAGCTTCTGAAGAGACTCTCCCCTGTGAAATAAAACTAAAAAAGAAGCATAAATGTACAATAGGTGCACATGCTGGGCTCTGTATATTGCATCCATACAATCAACTCTGATCTAACAAGACGCGACAGAGAGGATGTGAGCGTGGTCTCCTGGAAGCCTGTTTGATATGATTATTCGGTGACGGATACAAATCAGCTAAACTCTGTACAGTGCAGTGCCAAAACGACGAGCGAGGTGACCTGCAGACACACGAGAAAAAAAAAAGAGAACATATTACTGTGATGTATTTTAAATCAAGGGATGATTAAAAAAAAAAAAAGAAAAAAACAACAACTAGGATTTTCATGACATGTATTTTTTTTCTTATTTTTTCTTTCTTTGGTTTTAAGCAGATGTGGAAAACAGCTGTTTCCAAATGGCTTTTCTCAGCAAAAAAAAAAAAAGGAATTTAAAAAAAACAATCATCAGTTTTTGTAGGAAGCAGGCACTCCTCCAAGGAAGCAGACTACACTGTTATTGAGGCATTCTGTGAAGTAATGCTGGCTGCTAACACTAAGTCTTTATTCAGTGCAATATCATAGAGAGGGGTGGTAGCAAAGGGAAGGAGAGAGGAATTAAAAATGAACGGCACCAGGGCATTAATGTCAGAAACACCAGGCAGGCTTTGCTGTCTCAGTGGCCTTTTATGAAAACAATACGAGCTCCTCGTTCTGATGACAAGGTTGACTTACACCAAGTTTTGTGACTGGTTTGTCTTTTTTTTTTGTTTGCTGTCCTCGCTGTCAAACTGTCATGAAACGCCTAGTTCTGGACAAAACTTTAGTGTCTATCTATCCATTTTTTTTTGCACAAAGGTGTTTTGTCTAACGGTTGGTAAAAAAGACATATTTTGTGTGCCTGTGTGTGTGTGTACGGCGGGGCGTTCATGTTTTTCCCATTTTTCTTAATCTATTTGATTTTTTTTTTTCATCAAAGGAGAGGCCATGTGGTTCTTGGTCCCGTGATCTAGTGATGTGCTGCTACCTCCATCGCCTGTGCACTGTTTGGTTTTTTGCTCGTCTCATGTCGGTGGACGCGCCGAAGCCTCGTGAAATCCAACAAATCACAAGTGTCGAGGCGCGCGTCGTCCTCCGGTTTCGTTGCAGCTAGCTGCCCTGTGGAGAGAAATATAAACTTAGTTTGAGTTTCGTACCGCTTCCATCCACGCTCTACATGACTTGTACTTATATATATTGTATATAAGGAATTATAGCATACAAGATGAATATGTTACACGGCTTATTAAAAACGAGGGGGGGAATCTGGAACAGAATTTATTCCTGTGATCCGGGATGGTTTAATAATTTATGAAACAAGCAGATAAAACTCTGGAGTTTGGGGTTCCAATCGAATACGTCGATGTTCTGTTGTCGCTTTGGTTTGTTGATTTCGCTGAATGTTTGATGTCCTGAAAAGCAAAATTTGTTGATACCACTGAAGGATCTGCAACAGAGAGCAGGATCAGATCAGCAGAAAGGCCTCCTGCAGGTTGACACGCCGACTGTCTGTTGGATCAGTTCAGTCTGACTTTGAATTAAACCTTCTGTGTGATTAGTGGGATTGAATGTAAGCATTTCGGTATCGGTATACATTTATATTTTTCTTATATTTGGTCTTTAAACATTTGGTTTCACTTCAAATCCATTTTTATTTGAAATCCTTCTTGCATTTAATCTACTTTTACATATTCTTCTGCAAACAGACTTTCAAATTTAACGCCGAAAAACTTTTATTCAATTTTTTTGACACCCAGATAAACTCGAAAAGTTAATTAAATTGGGAAAAAAAGACAAATAATTTAAATAAAACTCTCGTTCTTGTGACTTGAATGACATCTAACTGCCGATATGTTCTTCTCAGCTTCTGTTTATCTTCCTGCTCACCTTCAGTCTCGCTGATCACACTCTGTGTAGTCACAGATCTATTTATTCTGCGGCCCAAACCCGGCTCGACCCGCTGTTCTACCTCAGCCTTTGGCCTCCGAGGTGACAGACATTCGGTGTGTTAACTCTACAAGAATAATATTCCAAACATTCCTCTAAAGAAGGGACCTGTTCTGTGTTCTGTGGAGATGATTCTGAAGGATTTAATTCTGACTACCTGGACCGGTGGTGTGACTCATAGCTTTAACTTCTCTGGTTTCTGTTCTCAGTGTTTCCATCCAATCCGGTTTATCTGTTCTTTACGTGAAGCTGCACTTGAGCGACGAGTCGGTTTACGGTGTGAAACAGGGTCCGTGTGGTTTATCGATGCTGAGGAGAGGGCGGCGAAACGTGAATGTAGGGAAAGGTTTGGCTGGTAACAGGTTTACACTGAATTATTTTTGTTCCAAAGCTGTTTCTCTATAGTTTCTCTCTGTCACGAAGGTGTTCCGAAAAAAAACCAAATCATTCACTTGTGAGTGGGTGTAGTGTCTCTAAACGCTGTAGCTCTTTTTGTACTTGGATCCATTTGTAGATAATTTCTAAATGTTTCTACTTGATTTTACGACAGCCTTTTTTTTAGTGCACTGAGATTTCCTCTCCCTGTAAAAGACTGCGAGCATTCTCCATAGTGTCCTTTGAAATCAGATGTATCGGTCCACCGTATGTGCTTGCTTTGTGAATCGAGGTTAAAAAAAAGACAAAAAAGGAGAAAAAAAAACAAGAAAAAGAGAAGTCGTTGGACAGTATTTATGATGACTAATTATGTGTGGGTGTGCATGTGAAAAAATACAACTTTTATAACCAAATTAAATTTGATATTTTTTAGAAAATCCTTGTTCGCGTTCATTTGTGCACGTGGTGTGTTGTTCTTACTGCAGAGGGAAGGTCAGGTTTAACTGAATGAAACACGAGGAAGTCTCTGTGAGCAGGAAAAAGCAAATGTTAGCAAACGACGCCAACCTTCCCGCTCTCCTGGTCCATGAGACCATCCTTCAGCTGACTTAAACTGTCTTTTATGTGTCATTGAGCAGCTTAATGAAGCGTTGGCGCCTCTCTGGAGGGTTTCAGCTGAAAACACAAGAAGCTCCGTCGCTGGGATCGACACACGATCACATTCAAGTGCTGAAGTTTACATAAAGAGTTCATCCGGAAATGTGCTTGTAGACGGGGAGTCTCCATGTTCTCCCCGTGCAGCGTGGGTTCTCTCCAGGTTCTCCAGCTTCCTCCCACAGTCCAAAAACATGCTGAGGTTAATTGGTGATTGTAAATTGTCCGTAGGTGTGAATGTGAGTGTGCTTGGTTGTCTGTCTCTAAGTGTAGCCCTGTGATAGACTGGTTACCTGTCCAGGTGAACCTGCCTTCACCCTGAGTCAGCTGGGATAGACTCCAGCCCCCCGAGACCCTAGTGAGGATTATGCGGTGTTTAGATGATGGATGGATGGCTGTAGAAGGAAGAAAAAACAACACATTTCTAATCATATTTCAATATTTTGCACTAATAGAACTGATTGATGAATATCCTGATCTAATAGTTTATCTTTTATTGTCATAATGTAACAAACTAGTGGTTTGATACCTGAACAATGCACTGAAATAGAATAGAATAGAATAGAATAGAATAGAATAGAATAGAATGCATTCTAGAGTCTATTCTATTCTATTCTATTCTATTCTATTCTATTCTATTCTAGTTACACCTGTAACCATGCAGTTGTTTTGTTGATCTACCTCTTAGGGGAAAAAAAGGTAAATAGTAAATATTACTTTGTTTTATTTTTTTTATTTTTTTATTTTGGAAAAAGGACACAAAAATAGCAACAACAACAACAAAAGTTGCTCAAAAGAACTACAGGCAAATAAATAACTGGGTATTCCATAAACTGTAGTGGATGATCTATCAAAGGAAAAAAACAAAGAGGATTTTGTTTTCTTTCTCAATTCTTAGTTGTTTTTCAAAAGGATTAAGAAATGGAATAAAAAAAGTGAAAGAGGGAGACGAAAACTTATCACCTGTTTTTCATTTTCTTCTTCATAAAACCCAACATAAACGAGGTTTCCATATCCAATTTGCATTTTATTTTGTTAATTTCATTAAACTTAGACTTTTTAAATGTCAAAATATCCTCCATGTTTTGTTTTTGGTTGACTTCTAATTCTATTCTATTCTATTCTATCAAGTAGCAGTCCCGTCAGCGTGCTCATGAACTCAGACAACATGTTTAAAGCAAACCATGAGATGTGCAAATATAAAACATAAAAACCTAGAAGAAAAATCATATGCACGAGTGTTTCTATAAAAGCTTTTAAAAACAGCTTAATTAGTGTATTAAGAACTATAAAGACAGTGGAGTAGCTAACGTTGCACTTCTGGATATATGTGAGTAAGTAAATGGTACAGAAATTACATCCAAGGTGTGAAAAATGAATCCATCAGTGTGAGTATGAATTACTGCAATAACACAGATTCATCCCCTCGTGAGCACGTTGTGTTGGTTGTTCTTTCGGGTTCGGCGCCATCACCAAGGTGCTCAGAAATAAAACGCTCGCTGCTGATCAGAGCTGCACAAACGACTCTCAGCCTTCTTGAGTGAGCAGCGCGTCCGTCTCGTTACTCAAACGAATGAAGTGAGGGACTCGGTGGACTATTAGTGGCTCTTACTGGAAGGAGAAATCTTTTCAAAGGAGGCCGCGTCCTAATGGATGCAGGCCGGTTTAATCCGAGGGTTTCTCTCGATGGCCGATACAATGCATTAGCAAACTCTTTAACGTGTCGGACAGATCATGCCAAGAGAAGTTTGAGTTTAAGACACCACGGTTAAGGACATGTTGTCAGCTCGTTGTCACACAGATAAGGCCACAATTATTCATACCAGCGTCTGAAGTACAGCGAATATTTATTTTTAAAAAGTTGTTTTCTAGCTGGAAATGGCAATAAAAAGTGACAAACTATGGTAGGAAATGTTTTTATTAGTGCATTAAATTACTATAGACATGGTGGAAACTGAGCATTTTTATGATCTGGTGACAACAGCAAGACTTCTGAATAATTTATGGCACTTTTCTTAACAA